TTCCCGCCCCCGGGTGGCGAGTGACATCTTCTCTGCCCGTCGCGTGCCCCGTGGCATGCGACGGTGCCCTAAACTTGCCCTAAACCCTGAACCTCGCTTTGATACCATGTTAAGATACTAGAAGGAGAATGGCTTAGGAGCCTTAGTAACTTAGGTGAGTTCGAGTTGAAGGGTGAAGTTCGAGGGTGTGTACATGGGGGGGGGGGGGGGGGGGGGGGGTTCTTGGCGCAGAACTCAGCAGGAAGTGCAGCGCGGTAGCGAATGTCACTAGTGCGAAGGTGCGTAATGAGGTCAACGACTATGGGAAAGGCAGCAAGGTTAGGGAAGAGGTATGGTAGCATGAGGCGGCTCAGTGCAGCAGTGGCAAGGGAAGAGTAGCGTGCAACTACAGCGTCGTACAAGGTCTGAGCACTCTTGTACGGGCTAAAGTGTGCACGCTCAGTGGTCGGTAAGTGGTGGCGCACAGCAAGGCGAGCAGCAGCATCGCGCGTGGCCCACTGTGAGCGAACAGTGGCGTCAGCATCAGCAGCAGGGGCAGGGGAGGCACCAGAAGTGAGGTTAAACAGCGAGAGGCCGTCTGCCCTATCGTAGTGCAGGAAAAGCTGCAGATCATCTACCCAGACCTCAAAGTCCACTGCGCGACCCTCAGCGTCGAAGGTGAGAACGCTAGGGGAGGCCATAACAGCAGTAGACAGGCAGTGAGTACAGTGGGGCAGGGCAGTGCAGTGGCAGAGACTATGCTCTTACCAGGCAAGTGGGGCGGTCGGGCGGCTCGGCAGCTCGGCGGTCGGGCGGCTCAGCTGCTCGGCGGCTCGGTGGTCAGGCGGCTCGGCTGTTGGGCGGCTCGGCGGTCGGGCGGCTCGGCGGTCGGGCGGCTTGGCTGCTGGGCGGCTCGGCGGTCGGGCGGCTCGGCTGCTGGGCGGCTCAGCGATCGGGCGGCTCAGCTGCTCGTCGGTTCGGCTGCTCGGCGGTGCGGGCGCTGGGCGGCGAGGCCGCAGGTGGCGGCGAGGCCGCAAGTGGCTACGGGGCCGCAGGTGGCGGTGGGGCCGCAGGTGGCGGCGGGGCCGTAGGTGGCGACGAGGCTGCAGGTGACGACGAGGCCGCAGAGGGGCCAAAACGAGGCCGTAAAGGGGCCAGACGGGGCCGTAGCGGGGCCAGACGGGGCCGTAGCGAGGGGCCGTAGAAGGCGGCGCGAGGGGCCGTAAGGGCGGCCAAAGGTGGCCACTAAGGGCGGCTCGAGGCGCTACTCGGGTAAGAGCGAAGCGCGCTCCGGGCAGGGAAGAAAAAATTCGTGGTGGGCCCTAGGCAGCATTCCCACTCGGGAACCTGCTCGATACCATGTTAGAAACCCAACCACTAGACCATTGGGATAAAAGGGCTTGTTAAGTAGCGGATCAGTGCGCCCATAACCCCCCAGGACAACGAGCCTGTAACCCTTCCCTAGGATCAATCGGGGATCACCAGTGGACCTCTGACAGGGTATACAAGTTTGGACAAGGTATTTGAGCTGGATAAGGTATTTGAGTTGGATAAGGTATATGAGCTGGAACAGGTATTTGAGTTGGATAAGGAATTCCACTTGGACAAGGTATTTGAGTTGGATAAGGTATTTGACTTGGATAGGGTATTTGAGTAGGATAAGGTGTATGACTTGGGTGACATTTGAATAAACTCAAGAAGCACCTTGAGTTATGTCCACAGGTTGACTCTGCACCTTGCATGTTCCTTCATCTATCAGACGTCCATGCTCATTGCCCTTTCGACCTCATTGCCCGTGCCAATCTTCACCAGGTGACCTTGGCAGGTGGCTTCCTACACATCTGGAATAGCAAGGAGGCAACCTCGAGTGTTCTTTTGAGCCTTGAGCATCCTCCACACCTATCCATCTGTGCACCTCGTTGTTCGTGTTGATCCTCACCAAGTGGCCCTAGCAGCCGACTTTCTAAACAAAGCCAACAGCGATCTATTGCCCACTTCATATTCTCCCTTCCCCCTCCTCTTCCTCTGTGTGCCCTCAGGTGGCCCTAGCAGCTGACTTCCTGCACAAGTGGAACAACAAGAAGTCGGCCACGGGTATGGGGTACAGCTATATCCTGCACCAGGTGTGTGGCGGTAACCAGAAGTGGGTGTTCAAGGAGCTGTGTGTCAGAATCCCAACCACTATACCATTGGGATAAAAGGGCTTGTTAAGTAGCGGGCCAGTGCGCCCATAACCCCCCAAGCCAACGTACCTGTAACCCTTCCTTATGATCAATCAAGGATCTCCAGTGGACCTCTGACACCCCCCCCCCCCCCCCCCCCCCCCCCGCCGCACTGGGAGGCCCGAAGTGCACACACTAGGATTCGAACCCGAGACCTTCGCTCTGATACCATGTTTAAAATAAAGGGAAGAAACGGTTTGTTGACTATCGAGAATGTTGGGTACAAGTAACAAACCCTATACCCTACATTGGCTACCCCACTACAGCCTACATATCATTATCACATAAACATATAGTTTGACACTGTGTGTCGTTGTAATGACTTGTGAGTGTATAGCATGGAGGCAGCCTCCGTCAAAAAAATATTTGTGGCGGTTATAGGCTGTAGTGGGTGACGCTCTAAACACAGCTCAATTAGGATTAGGTACATGTACTCATTTTCTCATCAATGCATCCATTCCTGTTCTCTAGATTCTGACAGCCTCGAGTGTTCTTTTGAGTCAAGCAACAGTCACCTTCTTCCATACCTATCCATATATCCCCATTGCACCTCATTGCCCGTGCTAATCCTCACCAGGCGGCCCTAGCAGCTGACTTCTCGCGCAACTAAAACAACAAGGAGTCGACCACGAGTGTGGGATACGACTATATCATGCGCCAAATGTGTGTGTGAATGTGTGTGTGGCGATAACCAAACGTAACTATACAGATAGCCGTGTGTGTGATTGTAATGAGTGGTGAGTGTACAGCAAGGTGCGTATTACTATACTTGCAGCAGGGGTGCTGTGGTGTGTGTACCCATTAGGAACGGCGAATGAGAATGTACTGGGAGGTGCGTAGCAAATACATTGTGCATCATGTGTTTGTGTGGCTTTGGCAAGAGTTTATTGTAATGAGTGGCAGTCTTTGTCACCAAGGTGACAGGAACAAGGTAGTTGGGATAAGTCCACCGTAATATAAATTACTTCATTAAGGGCAGTTCGGTTTTCCCCATCCGCTCCCTTCGTGTTTCCACGTAACAGTGTCACCTGGACACGAGAGGCTATGTACCATCTTGTATGAAGCATCCAACCACCTCCCTTGCGTTTCCACCAACCACTGTCGCCTGAGGGGGCGACTTGACATCAATAGGTGTGTGGCGGCCTATCTGAAAGCGAGGTTTTATCTTGGGGCCAATCTCCTTTTCTATGCAGAGGCATGTCAATAGTGAGTCGATTCATGTGCTCGTGAGCGTATTTGAGCCTGCATCGCTTCCTCTAATGAACCTTGCATGTCTTTCCATTCCCGCTTTCGTGTTTTGTATCTGAACCTAACAATCTCGTTTTGCCTTTCCTGATGGATCACATGAAAAAAAATACTGTAAATTTGGACTTGGTGTGTCTGTTGGGGAATAGATGACTGTGGTGCTTTTTTCACAAACCTTACCTAAGCACTTTCAAAGTTGCTGATTAGGTCGCTTTTATATGAAAGATCTCCAAAGTTATCATGTATGTTTTTTATTAGTTTCTTCTAGCTAGTACACAAAGAGGCCTAATATCCAGATATTATTCTGTACAGAGAATTTGTTTGATCTTCGGTGATTGTTTGTCCAACCCAAGGCTGTATTGGAATATACAAAATAACACATTTCTAGGGTTTTCTTCCTGAAGCTGTACCCATTTTGAGAGTCGAATATAGTACATTTCCATCGAGAACCTGCTCGTTCCGCTAAAACTAGCTGACTATATCGGCTTCCTCGACATGCCCTAAACAATTATCACTGCTACAATCCAGTGAGGGCCAAGATGACTCACGAGCTGTAACCCTCTGTGATGAAAACACGATACTTTCGCAACCATCTAAATTGTTTCTCAAGGAGGTCCGCGAAACAATGTTATTTCGTTTGAAACTCTTTCCGAAAGAGCAGAACAAAGGAGACCACCTTGAAGTGCGCGGCTTGTATTCAGCGTCGGAGCGCATTACTGAAAAGTCGGCTGTATTGCTACCAGCAATAATCTCCTAGTGCAAACCCACTAACAAAAATCTTGGAATGTTTGAGCAAAACAAGCACGACATAGCAAGCAGCAGCAGTTCTTGTGGAGGTACAAAGGCGAGAGCGAAGCTGATTCACTCGCCAAATCACCTTTACCAACGTGCATCATAAGCTCCTCCTACCTGGTAGAACGTCCCTTGCTATTCGAGCCATGGATTCAAATGCACGTATCGCGCGGGTGGTAGGCCTGCTCACTGTCATTCTGTCCTTCATTCAATTCTAACCTGCCTTCGCCCTTCGAGTGCTAAGCAATCCCGCAGCAGCCCATGCCAGTGTTGATAGCGAAGCTTCTCTAGCGGGAGCTTCAGCTGCTACTGCATCTGAATCCGGAACAAGCGGTCCAGAGGCAGCGAGCGTGATCCAGAGCGGTGAAGCGGACCCGTGCACGCTGTGGAGTCAGGAAATCGCCACAAATGCAGGGATCTGGAACGTTGCGAAACCCTCTACAGTTCACGAATGCTTGCGCAATTTCAAAATCAGGTAACGACTCGTTTGATATTGCAAATGCAGTAGCATTGACCTTCTGGAAAAACGACTTCATTTGAACAAGCGTTTCTGTTTTTGAAAAAAAAAACCCTTTGACTTTGAGCAGGGAGAGCGACGTGGAAGATCTCCGGTCCGTGTTCAATGGAGTCAACAACCACTACGTTTACAAGGACACTGCCGTTGACTCGCCCGACCAGACGAACCTTCCCAGCAGCGTCGACATCGTCGCGGAGCTGACGGCCATTCTGCAGCGCGCCGAGCAGGGTGAATACGAACGGCTGATGGACGCCCACGTGGACACATTCAACGCGCTCAACGGCCTGAACGACGGCCACACCATGTTCTGGTCCAACTGCTTCTTCGGCGTGGCTACCTTCGTCCTCCCGCTTCCGCTTTTCGCGGTCGTGGAGGAAGGTCAGCAGATCGTTCGCGTCGCCACGCGCCAATGTGAGTCTCTCTGCCGCGCGATTGTAAAACCTCTCACACGTACGCACGCACGTACATTACGCTCAGGCGAACTCGTTTTCCAATTACGCTTCGTTTCAAAGTGTATAAGTAACGCTGCCTGTGGCCGTGTTTCATCGCGCCATACCCTTCAGACCTGGAGCGGCTCAACGGGATCGATGAGGACGCGAAGAAGCTCTGGGGTTTCGATTTTTCCGCCTACGAGTTACAGCAGGTACGCTACTGTCGCTAAACGGGTACATTAAATAGCAGAAAAGCCACAATACACGTGGTTTGCAATATCGGCCAGTGTCTATAAAGTAGCAAGGGCATAGAACTCCCTCGTCCCCTCTCTGCAGGTGCTCGCCATAGAGGGCCAGCCGGCAGTGGAGTATATCAAGCAGTGGGCGGACAAGCACGGCGGCATGGTGCGCAACCCCAGTGCGCGTTTCAACATGATGTTCGCCGGGCTCGACCCGGAGGGAAAAGCCAAATTGAGCCATCACGCGGGGGAGTTTGTTGTGCGGGAGCTGGTTCCAGAAAGCGATACGCTGCAGGTGTCCGTTTTCACAGGGTGAGCCTTATGCACACAAAACGGCAAGAATGTACTTCCATTAACCCTAGTTGGTACCACTGAATTCTCATGCCCTGTTGTTCTGTTGGCATTTTCTGTTGTCACTGTTTTGTTATTGTTTTGTCTGGGTGGTTTCTGTGGCTGGGAGCAACAGCGGGGCAGCGGAGAACGTGAGCGTGCCATGGATGGCTGTCTCGAACCCACAGCCCTTCAACGACTCGCACTCCTACTGGACCCTCAACTGCACCAAGCACAACGAGCGCTGTCCAGGCGACGCTGATGCTGGCACGCAACAGCAGCAGCGGCAGCAGTGGCAGTGGTAGCGGCAGCAAGGAGAAGCAGGCTCCGTGTCCTGTGTTTGAGCGTGATGTGCTGAGGAGGCGACCCCAGTACCAGCAACACCAGCGGCCCCACAGGCGCCAGCAGCAGCAGCCACAGGAGAAGCAGGAAGGCAAGGAGGAAGCAGGGTCGTCAAGCAACGATGCGCAGAGCAGCGACAAGGTTGCACCCAGGATACTGGCTGGAGAGGAGGGGGCAGCCATCACAATGGAGAAGGTGTCTGCTGACGATGCCTACTACCTGGTATGCGCGTGTGACAGTATGCGCGTGTGACTGTATGCGTGTGTGACTGTGTGCGGGTGTGACTGTGTGCGCGTGTGACTGTGTGCGCGTGTGACTGTGTGCGCGTGTGACTGCATGCAGGTATCAGTGTTCGTGCTGAAACGCTATCAAGAACCGCATTCAACCTCCCAGCTCTCCTCTCTCTCCCCTGGCAGTCCCCTCAACCCCCCTTAACCGCACTTCACCACTCTCACGAGTATCTGTTGCACAACTGCACAGCAGTGATCTGCTGCACCACGGCGAGTAAGCTGACCGTCACCAGCCCTGGCTTGCAACCCTCTGGACCCTTCTGCACCCCTCTGCACCCCTGGACACCCCTCTGAATCCCTCTGCACCTCTCTGCACCCCTCTGCGCCCCTCTCAGGTGTATCTGGTGGACAACCGCACGGCAGTGATAGTGCTGCACACATTCAGCGTGGACCCCACTACGGAGGAGGAGCTCGCAGTCAGCAGGCCTGACGTGAATCCCATCAACTACCTCGCTGAGGAGATTCTCAAAGCCATGGATACTGCCAGGAGGTACGCGCGCCCTCTCCGCTTCGCCCCCTGCTAGTCCTCCCTGCTAGTCCTGCTAGTCCTCCCTGCTAGTCCTCCCTGCTAGTCCTCCCTGCTAGTCCTCCCTGCTAGTCCTCCCTGCTAGTCCTCCCTGCTTGCCCTCCCTGCTTGCCCTCCCTGCTTGCCCTCCCTGCTTGCCCTCCCTGCTTGCCCTCCCTGCTTGCCCTCCCTGCTCGCCCTCCCTCCTCGCCCTCCCTGCTCGCCCTCCCTGCTCACCCTCCCTGCTCGCCCTCCCTGCTCGCCCTCCCTGCTCGCCCTCCCTGCTCGCCCTCCCTGCTCGCCTTCCCTGCTTGCCCTCCCTGCTTGCCCTCCATGCTTGCACACCAATTTTCCCTTACTGAAAAACCCTTCTCTCTCTCAGCATTTTGGACATTCATCTCCCAACTTCTCCCTTCTGAAATTTTACTGAAAACCAATTCTGAACCTTTCCCCCGCCCCCCCCGCGCGCAGCACCGACTGCGCGGAGGTCATATTCGACGTGCGCGATAACGGCGGCGGGTACGTCACACTGGCCTCACACACAGTCGTCGCACTTCTCGGCACGCGCAACGTGCCTCTAGCGGAAGCAACCCTACCCATGGACTTCATTATAGGCACCAACTTCACCTGGAGCCTCATGGAGGATCAGGCCATTCCTGGCTACGTCACGAACGCGTACACTCAGCCCAGCGACGGCACGTCGCTCCTCTCGTCTGCTGAAGACTACACTCCTCTGCAAAACGTCCCCTTCTCCGTCGCCGGCCGCATCGGCACCTATACCGCGGATTTTAAACTGAATTTCGATTATTTCTACGGCGACTTGGCGGCGCGGCCCGAGTTTTCGGAGCCGTTTTTCGGCGCGCGGCCGTTTCTGTTTCTCGCGGACGGGGACTGCTTCTCCACCTGCGCCGTCCTCACGCACATGCTGGGTAAACGCTACAAAGTACCCATGGTAACCGTGGGTGGTTACCTCGACCAGCCCGTGTCCGTGAGCGCGTCGTGCCTGGGCTACACCATGCTCTCGTTAAACTGCGCCGTCTCGGTTCCGCTAAGCCGCACGAACCACGCCAACGACCCGCACGCGTCGAAACCGTTTAAAACGAACATGGATGTTTCCATGGCGTTTACTAACGGGTACGTGGACTCCGGCGTTCCGTGCGAGTTCGAATTTCTGCCCAGTCAGCACCACGTGGACTACACCGTAGATCGCATCGACAAGCCCGAGGTGATTTGGAGCGACGTCGCGAAACTCTTCCCGGAATTGCCGCTGCCACCGGTGATCGCTCAGTCGCAGGCTGCAGTGTAACTCTTCCGCAACTGCACCGTCAGTCACGCGAATCGGTTTGGCGAATCAAGAGGAGTTGCCACCAGAACCATCCTAGCATTACCTTAGCGAATAACGAGCACTTTCTGTGGATGTTAGCTAGTTTAGCATTACGCAATAAAGAGCTCCTTATTAGCGCGTTTAGCACTACGCAATAACGAGCACTTTCTGTGGATGTTAGCTAGTTTAGCATTACGCAATAAAGAGCTCCTTATTAGCGCGTTTAGCACTACGCAATAACGAGCTGCCTATTTGGCACGGCATGGTGTTCCCTGCGATTTTCCCTGGACGCCTTGAAATACTTCGTTATGCAGCTATCCGCTCTACAAGCTGGACAGCCCATGTTTTGTCATACATTGGTTAAACACCAAGTGAAATAGTGTACTTTGGCTCTGCACCGTACCCCAACTTTGCACTGCACTCACGAGATTGTTATGTCCCTTTTGTCAGAGCTTGATCCGTGGGTCAGGACCTCGATACACGTGCGCCTTTGGTAGGGTGGGTGGGTGGGTGCCCCAAAAGCACATCGCCCTGCTCCTGCCGTGCCCTCCCATCCATCGCGACAGCTAGGTGGGTCACGACACAACTCGCGGACAGAAACAGCTGCTCCTCTCGTTCACTTCGCCTCCCTCCCCAACCCAGATCTCGCTTGCCGTCAGCTCGCTGTCCATTGGCTGATCTGTCGGGCAGGCCTCGCTGTAGGATGCACGGATCGCTTTCCTCCTGCACTCCGTTGTGCACGTGTGCTCTTATCGCATCTACTGTTACAGTTAGTTCACAGACATCCCACTCCGCCCACAGTCTTTTGCCTGGGGCAAAAGGACCGTCTCATGCCGCTCATCTCCGCATCGCGAAGGCAGGATCGGTCGTGCCTGGTACAATCGGATCGGGAATCAACGTCAGGTCGGGTGCATGCGCGACTGTTTCGCACGATCGGTCCTTCTGATGTTCCCTATATTAAAAATTTCGCCCTTATCCAAATGCGCTGTTCGAATCGACCGCCTTGAGGAGTGCGGCTCGTATTCAGCGTCGGAGCGCGTGAGTGAAACGTTGGTTCTAACAACATGCTCGCTCTGCCAGCAACGCCTCCCTGGCGACGCGAGCTCGCAAGCAGTGCTTGGAATAATCGTGGAGTATATAAACAAAACAGCTAGTGCCGGGGGTGCAAAGGCGAGTGAGAAATAGCAGCAGCAGTTTTGTTGTTGCACACCGGGGGTGCAAAGGCGAGTGAGCTGATTCACTCGCCACCTCACAACTTCAGCCATGTCAGAAGCCCCTCCTATCCTACCCGGTAGAGTCGTCCCTTGTTGCGGCCCAAGCCATGGGTTAACGGGGATGCCTCGTGCGGGTGGGCCTGCTTGCCGTCGTTCTCTCCATGATTCATTTCCAGCCTGCCTTCGCCGGTCGACTTCTCGTAGACGATTCCATAGCAGCCTCTCTCAGTGCTGATAGCGAAGCTTCTCTAGCGGGAGCCGCTGATGTTACCGTTGGATCGGGAACGAGCGGTCCAGAGGCAGCGAGCGTGGTGCAGAGCGGTGCAGCGGACCCGTGCGCGCTGTGGAGTCAGGATATTGCCACGAATGCAGCGAGCTGGGACGTTGCGAAGCCCTCTACAGTTCGCGAATGCTTGCGAAACCTGAAGATCAGGTAACGTGCCGCGTCAACGAGAGGCTGTGACCTTCTGGAAACCATTTACCAAATCCTTTAGCAATCTTTTCTGTTTTTGCGAAATGACTCGCTTTGACTTGAGCAGAGAGAGTGACGTGGAAGATCTTCGGTCAGTAGTCAACGGAGTCAACAACCACTACGTCTACAAGGACATCGCCGTTGACTCGCCCGACCAGACGAACCTTCCCAGCAGCGTCGACATCGTCGCGGAGCTGACGGTCATTCTGCAGCGCGCCGAGCAGGGCGAATACGAACGGCTGATGGACGCCCACGTGGACACGTTCAACGCGATCAACGGCCTGAACGACGGCCTGAACGCAGCAAGCAGCAGCGGCGGCGGCAACGGCGGCGGTGGCGGCGGCGGTGGAGGCAGCAAAGAGAGGGGTTTGGGGGAGGCTCTTCCTGTGTTCCAGCGGGATGTGCTGAGGAGGCGACTCCAGTATGGGCAACACCAGCAGCCCCACAGGCGCCAGTTGCAGCGGCAGTTGCAGGAGCAGCAGGCGGAGGGGCAAGAGGAGCAGGGGCAAGAGGCGCAGGGGCAAGAGGCGCAGGGGCAAGAGGCGCAGGGGCAAGAGGAGCAGGGGCAAGAGGCGGAGGGGCAAGAGGCGCAGGGGCAAGAGGCGCAGGGGCAAGAGGAGCAGGGGCAAGAGGAGCAGGGGCAAGGGGAGCAGGGGCAAGAGGAGCAGGGGCAAGAGGAGCAGGGGCAAGGGGAGCAGGGGCAAGGGGAGCAGGAGCAAGGGGAGCAGGGGCAAGAGCTGGAGGGGCAAGAGACAGAGGGGCAAGGGGAGCAGGGGCAAGAGGAGCAGGTGCAAGGGGAGCAGGGGCAAGAGGCGCAGGGGCAAGAGGAGCAGGGGCAAGGGGAGCAGGGGCAAGAGGAGCAGGGGCAAGGGGAGCAGGGGCAAGGGGCGGAGGGGCAAGAGGCGGAGGGGGAGGGGCAAGAGGCGCAGGGGCAAGAGGCACAGGGGCAAGAGACGGAGGGGCAACAGGGGGAGGATCAACAGGGGGGTGGGGAAGAGGTGGGTGGGGAAGAGGTGGGTGGGGAAGAGGCGGGTGGGGAAGAGGCGGGTGGGGAAGAGGTGGGTGGGGAAGAGGCTGGTGGGGAAGAGGCGGGTGGGGAAGAGGCGGGTGGGGAAGAGGCAGGTGTGGAAGATGGGGTTGGAGAAGACTCAGGTGGGGAAGAGACGGATGGGCAAGGGGCGCCGGTGGTAATCATCTTCTAAGAAGTGTGGCTCTTAGGGTGTAACAGAGTTTGAATAGTTAGAGTAGTTAGTGTAGTAGCTGGTAGTAGGCAAAGTAGATACGCTACACCACTAGTAACAGGCAGCTGTCAAGTTCGGCCAGTTGGTGTTGAAGGGGAGCAGGTTGGTTGAATGTGTGTCAGTCAGTGCCGACATGCACAACTTCTAGAGTTGACTCGCAGAACGGGCTAACTCAGGCTAACCGTAATAAACCCGTAGCACAATCATAGAAGTTTATGTTTGTTAGAGCCTTCTAGATCTCCATGTAACCTGATAAGTATCTAGATTGTGAACGCAAGCCGAGCAACTTCTGAGGCGCCTCGAGGTGGTTGAAATCAAGACACTCCGTCCAAAACATGGAGCTTTTCAAGCGAAGCGGGAGCTAGCAAAGGGAAGCAAAACAACCCATAACCAGCACGGATAACCCACCCACCCACGTCTTTCTGACCAGAACGCAGCAGCATCAACATCATATGGAACTGGTTTTGAGGGGGTTTTTGTTTCATTCTTGCATACCGTACACTTGCCAGGTAATCTATTGTACCGGAGTGAAATACATCTCATAACGTCAGAGCTACAGGCAGCCAACAGGTCAGTGGCTGAATTTCTCACAAGGCTCAGTAACTGGGTGCCTTGTTAAATGCTTTTGCTGAATGTCACTCTCTGGCTGGCTGCAGTCAGCAGCATATCGCCGGATGCATGCAAAGGTGGTTACAGGGATGGCTCTGGTTGGTGTGAGATGGTGTGAGATGCACCATCATCCGATGCTCGTCAAATCCGTTTGGTGTGACAGCTCAGCATGCATGGGTGCTGATTCAGCAGCTGAAGAGGAGGGAGAGGTAGGAGAACCTGCCGGGCCAGGAGGCAGGAGGAATGGCCGCCGGATGTCACTAGCTCCAGGCTCGGCAGCAGACGGGCTAGGTACGGCCAGAGCATGCAAGGAGGCTCGGGAGCTGGCAGGGTGCCTTATCCAAGGTAGGTTGGGAAGCAAAGAGGTGAGAAGCAATGACGAAGGGGATGGGTGGTATTGTGGGTGAGGGGAGGAGGGATGAGAGGAGGGAGAGGAGGTCACTGATCTTGAGGAAGAGGGGGAGGAGGATGAGGAGGAGGAGGGTGGGGAGGAGGATGAGGAGTGGAGTTGGCTCGGCGAAGGAGGTGTGGGAACAGAGGTACCTGCGGCAATGTTGGTGCCAGCAGTGCTGCTACCGCTGCTGCTGGTGTTGCTGCTGATGGTGCACATGGGAGGAGGGGATGTGGAGGGTGCGTGTGCGTCACCCTTGCAGATGGGGCAGAGGGGCTGCTTGGTGGTCAACCACTCGTCCACACACTCCGCATGGAACTCTGCGGAACAAGGGGGAGCAAGGGAGTCGAGAGGAAAAGGGGAACAAGGGAAGGACACGCACAGGTGAACAGTCAGCAGGGAACTCTGCAAGTGTTGAGTGGCGGACAGAGGGGAGAGGGAAGTGGGGGGAGGGGGAGAAGGGGAGAGGGGAGAGGGGAGAAGGGATAGCGGATAGGGGAGAGGGGCGAGGGGAGAAGGGATAGGCGAGAGGGGAGGGAGAGGATTGGGGTCGGGCCATTTGCTGGTCCCCTCAACATGGGACTCTGAGTGCGGCGAGAGGAGGTTGGGGAGGGAGGGTGCGGTGGGGGATGGGGAAGAATATCAATGACACGGGAGAGTGAGAGTGCGGAATAGTCATGGTTTAAAGGGGGGAGGAGTGGGGAAGAGAGGGGAGGGGAGGGGAGGGGAGGGGAGGGGAGGGGAGGGGAAGGGAGGGGAGGGGAAGGGAGGGGAGGGGAGAGGAGGGGAGAGGTGAAAGGCATGGTGAGGCTTAGGCACCCTAACGCATAGGAAAGAGGGGCTGGAATAAGCGGTTTGGGAAGAGGGGGCTGGGGAAGGCGGGGGTGGGGATGGGTTGAGGGGAAGGGCAAGGCAAGCGCACCATGCCCGCAGGGCAGCACTCTCAGGCGGTCGCCCGATTGGTAATCGTCCAGGCAGATGGCGCATGTCTCTAGCGCCCTGCTCCACCCCCTCCTCCTCCTTCTCCCCGCCGCCTTCCCCGCCTCCTTTCCCTCCTCCTTTCCCTCCTCTCCCTGCTCACTTCTTCCCTGCTCCTCCACATCTCCCAGCGACTCATCCCCATCCTCCCCTTCCTCCACTCCATTATCCCCTTTACAAGCTTCCGCGAGATCTTCCATAGAAGGCGAGAACGTTATTTCCGGAAGCGCTTTCAGCTCCGCAGCTGATAAACCGATGCGCTTCTCGGGCGGCGGCGGAAGCAGCAGCGCGCGCATCACCACCAGCCCCTCCTCCCCCATCCCCCCGGCGGCTTCCGCTTCCGCCCCCGCGACCCCCCACGCGCCCCCCCTCCGCGCCTCCTCAAGCGCGCGCCGTATCCGCTGCTGGCGCACGATAATCAGAAACGCGGAGAGGAAGACGGAGAGCGTGAGCAGCGCGAGGAGCGCCGCAGCGAGCAGCGGGAGGAGCGAGCCGGAGAGGGTGGGGAGGAGGATGAGGAGCGAGGCGGGTTGCGCGGCGAGGAGCGAGAGCAGCAAATGGCCGTCCGCGTGGGAGATGTAGACGGCGGGGATCGCCACGTCCCACACGTTGCGCGCGGACACTGCGCAGGCCGGGGGGGAGAACGGGGGGCGGGGAATATGGGGAGAGAAGGGTGGGTGAGTAAGAGGAGCGAGAGGAGTGAGAGCAGCAAGTGGCCATCCACGTGGGAGATGTAGACCGCGGGGACTACCACGTCCCACACGTTCCGCACGGACCTAGCGGGGAGCGGGCGGGTGCGGGGAGGACGGGGGGCGGGGGAGGAAGAAGGGGAATGAGGAACAAAACTTGCGGGGTATATTCAAGGCGCAGCAACAAGGACCGCAAGTCCGCCGGCACTTCCGCGTGAGAGGTGCGGACAGCGCAATCACCACGCGCCGCACGTTGCGCGCGGACGTGGGCTTGGGAAGGCAGTGGGTTCAGGGGAGGGGGGCGGGGGGAAGGCAAGGAATGTATGGATTGGGAGCAGGGTTGGCTGAAAGGCGATTGTGATAGGCAACTATCCTGCTCCCTATCCATTCAGGCAACTATCGTGCCAGGGTTGTGATAGCAGTGCTCCCTATCCATTCAGGCAACTATCGTGCCAGGGTTGTGATAGCAGTGCTCCCTATCCATGCATTCCTTGGATAGGGAAGCGGGCGGAATCAGGCAACTCCACTCAGGCGAAATCAGGCAACTCCACTCAGGCGGAATCAGGCAACTCCACTCAGGCGGAATCAGGCAACTCCACTCAGGCGGAATCAGGCAACTCCACTCAGGCGGAATCAGGCAACTCCACTCAGGCGGAATCAGGCGCGTGTGTGTCTGGGAAGGGAGTGCACACGCGGGCGTTGCGCGCGGGGTGGGGTGAGCGGAAGGTAGGAGAAGGGATAACATGTCTCGTTATTGTGGTTCACTCACTCGATATAAGCTCGTCGTTGTCCTCGTTATTGAACACTATCGCGGCCGCGTACCCCGCCACTTGCGCGTTCAGAACTTTGGTGTCGAATAGGCAGTTGCCACGTGTGATCAGCGCGAAGGCCCGCTCGGCGCGCTTTGCGCGGGACGCGAGCGGCTGACACGCGTCGAGCGGCTCCGCTCGGCGCAAAACGCCGCGAATGCCGCTCGAGGGGATGATACCGCCTGGGGACGGCGGGGGGGAAGAGAGCGGGGAAGGGGGGAGATGCATCGGGGGGAGAGGGGGAAGGGGCGGTGGGGGGGAGATTGGAGATATGTACCCGCGCCGATGCAGCTGTGGCAGCCGTATCACAGCTCGGCGCGCAGCTGCGTTACCAGTTGCGTTACCAAAAGGCTCGGCGCGCAGATGCGCAGCAAGGCAGCATGGCGCACAGCGCTGAGCTGCGAGTGCTTGTTGAATTTAGCGTACGCAGCGGGGAGAAGCGGGTGAAGCGCGCGGATTGTGAGGCGCAATCCCGGTGAGGTGCAAGGCGTGCTGCGTTTGATGCGGTGAGTGCGCGGCGGGTGAGGGCGCGGAGGGTGCGTGCGCAAGTGGTGAGTGCGCGCCGGATAAGAGCGCGAATGGTGAATGCGACGAACTCAACGGCTGAGATGAAACGGAGGGGCGTACCAAAGTTGGCGTCGACGTCATTGATGACGTAAGAGGCGTTCTTGGGAGTTACGACGACGATCGCCGCCGAGGCTGGCAGCGCACGGAGATGCAACGTCGCGCACCATGTGATTACAGCGAGGCACGATAACAACCGACTGCGTCGCGCACTCATGCTGGCCAAAACCTAGTGGAACCTATTGCTGCGGCGTAGTGGCGACGGGAGTACGGAGAGTGGAATAGGGTAAGCAGGGCGAGGGGGCTTTGGAGCTCCACTTCCCTCGCGTAGCTCGTATCAGCTACTGCGTGTCTGCAACTATGTGTCAGTACAAGTCAGCAAGTACGTTAGCAGCTTCATGTGTGCTCAACGAGAGCACTTCAGAATAGGAGGAGCAATCGCATGTGTGTGCTCGCCGAGCCGAAAAGACAGCGTTCAAACTAATAACGTAGGAGTGATGAGCAAAGCACGCTTGCTGTGGGATTACGGATAGGAATCAACTAATGCACTGCGGCTAAAAAGCTGGGACCAGGAGGCACATTCCAAATCCTAGGTTATGAACGTGAGCTCCCGAGCTGCATAGTGGAGTGACTTCGATTCGAGGCGAGGGGGAGAGTCGCGCGTCGAACGAATTACGCGGAGAAACCGAGGTGAGGAGGGGAGAACCCAAAGGAAGCGGGGCGAGGAACTTTCTCCCCGTCAGCGGCGGATGCGGAGTTGCAGCTGGCGTTTCCCCGGAATAACGCGGGGAGACGAAAGCTGCTGCTGGTTCCCCCAGCCCGCGCTTGTCAGACTCCGCGCGCTGGTGGAGGTACAGTCTGTATGTACTTGACAGCCCTTGCTCTGGCTCGCCCGCTTGTTGTGGGACCGCGCAATCTCGAGTGGGGAAGGTTCGGTTCGGGATGGGGGAAGACGGAAAGCAAACATAGCGGCGAAGAAGCAGCACCGGTATGATACACCCAATTATTCTTTTGATGCACCCGTGATAGTTTTATGGGCTTGGTACGTTCACATAGAAGGTTGGGAGCGATGCATTGATGTCACATAGAATCGATTCACACGCGTGATCAGTTCAGCATTGAATTGCTAAACGTCGAAGAAAATTGGTGGCAGAACACTACAGTTACACGCATTCGCGCTAAAAACGAGGCCAAATTTATTAGTCATGATTCGGTCAGGCCGGCCTGCAGTTGCAAAAACGTATTAATAGCCACATTTTGGGAGCAAGGGATGGCAATACGCAGGGAAATGTGACTCGCAGACGTTAAAAGCACCGGGCGAAAAGGACAAGCATCTCCGACCGAAACGCGCTTGGTGAGATAAACGAAGAGCTGGGTGTATGGAGGAGACCCCATGAGACGCGAGTTTCCGATTGGTTTCAGGGGCCGTAACATTCAGACGCAGCGCGGGAAAACAAACTCACCGACGGGCACAATCATTTGTCACGAGGTATACAAGAAACGATATGAGACCATGTCGAATGATGCAGCGTGGCATTCCATTTGTGGATGTGGAGGGAAATCTGAACTGTGAGACGTCCTACTGGCTGGCTGCCCTTGCGGGAATCTCCTCCGCTACAGTGCAGTACGGCTTGAGCCGCTTGTGCCCACCTAATTTACACACGATGCCTGCTTCACTCACTAAAAAATAATGCTTACCTTTTCCACGCCTAAAATACAGCAATAAGTGAACGAGGAGAACGGGCTCGAATACATTCACTATTGAAGAAAAACATCTATGATAACGAGTGCTATTGAAGGTTTATCCACATCAACGTTTGCATTTCCGCGGGTAGCACGAAGTGGCTGTCTACATTGTTCTGACATAAGCTAGACTAATTTTATTCTTCCGATAATCTTATTTTGAATAAAAAGTGCACAATGGCTTGTGGCCCGGCACAAGAGCTGGAGCTGGTGGAACAGCGTGGGGAAAACACGTGTTCTAAACCTGGGTACACGTCATGCTGATGCTACACCACACCACCTTCGTTCCTGGTTGCTCAATCAGATCTCGACTCTTGCGCCAGCGGGGTTGTGCGCCATCTCCATAGAGGGTTTGCGGGCAGTTGGTGTTTGACATGTGTACAGTACCCTGCCCACAGAACACGGCCACTCGCCAGCTGCGAAAACACCTGACGAGCACATTGGCGGCGGTATGAAAACACCAACCTGCCGCAACATGAAAGTGGTAGCAGAACAACCTGGACCGCTGTAAAGCATGTTATATAGTTGGGTGTATAATTTCTGAGCAGACACACATCATTATACAGCTGCAGAACACAACTCAAATCCAGCAGAGACCTGTATAAGCCAAAATCATCAGCAGCACGGAATGTCATCTTCTTCACGCAATTCCATTTGTAAGACCTCCAAACTGAACAGGCGGCACACCAGCACCACCAGATCCTGCACCTTGAATCACACCACCAGACGACCCCGGAAACTTAAACATTCCAGGCAGCATTCCTGGCACATAAAATGGCTCGGAAGAAGCCCCACTCATGCCCATAGGCATAGGAAGATCTATCATGCCTTCCATGTCCATTGCACTAGCACTGTAGTTCCCCATACCTGCACCGGCACCACCCATGCCATGCATCCCCATGCCACCCGACCCTACACCACCCATTCCCATGCCTCCTCCACTCATGCCAGTCACCCCCATCCCTGGTCTCATGCCCATGCCCATGTCTCCAAAGCCCATAGGCATCCCACCAATGTTCATGCCCATGCCCATACCAGGACCCATCATGTTCACACCCATGCTTGGATCCATACCCATCCCCATCCCCATACCCATGCCCAAAGGCATAGCCATGCCAGGAAGGGCGGCACCCACACCCATGGCACCTGCGCTTGCACCTCCTCTCACACCAGTTGCCGCCATCGCTGCAGCACCCATGCCTGTAACTGTAGCCCCCATCACCACACCTGCAGCTCCCGGGCGTAGACCCACGCCTGCAGATCCCGGACCTAGACCCATACCTGGTCGCGCATGCACTCCCAAGCCTGCAGTAGCTATGTTACCTCCCATTCCTGCTACCATTCCCATACCCCCCATGCCTGTCCCTCCCACGCCTGCACCCAACATGCCACCGCCCATACCACCAGCCATGCCTTGCCCCGGTTCATGACCCCCCATCATCACCATGCCACCTGGCCGCAACATAACACCTCCTCCAGGCAAGCCTCTCATCACAGGTGCCATGCCTCCGCCTCCCATGCTGCCACCAGCCATGCCAACAGCCATGCCACCCCCCCCTGCCATCCTACCAGCCCACATGGCAGCTTGACCCGCTCCATTGCTCACCCCACCAGCACCACCACCACCACCAGCAGCACCACCAGCACCATTCCCAGCAGCAACACCGCCACCAGCACTGATGCCACTAGCAGCATTAGCACCACCGCTCGTGCCTGTCCCTGCTGCTCGCGCTGCTACAGCAGCTGTCAGCGCCAGCACCTCTGCATCTGTGCTCGCACCCACTCTCTTCCCTGCAGCTCCACCACCCGTTCCTGCCCCCAACCCACTCGATGACCTCGCTGCCGAACCTGCTGCCTCGGCTCCTGCCTCGGATACCACGCCTCCTGCCGAGACCACAGCTGCTCCGGCCATGCCTGCCATACCAGGCCAGGCACCAAAGGCGTTCAACCCAGCCATAGCATTCAGCCCGGTCGAATCGGTCAACTCAGTCAACTCAGTCATCCTGCCTAGACCACTCAGGCCAGCTGTGCCTTTCATAGGCCATGCACCAGCAGCAGCAGCAGCGTTCCCAGCAACAGAGCCTGAGGCATCAACAGCCGTGCCTTCGCCTGCTACACGCCCAGCACTTGCTGCCATGGATGTAGCACTAGCTGCTGTCGCACCACTTGCTGTAGCCCCAGCAGCTGTAGCACCCGCGGTTGTAGCAGCAGCAGTAGTGGCGCCAGCGGTTGTTCCAGCAGCGGCAGCAGCAGCCCTTGCAGCAGCAGAGAACTGACTGGAATAGCCAGACGCAGCAGTGTCCGCAGAACCAGCCAAACCACCCGCGGCAGCAGCAGCAGCAAACTGCGGCAGGTACTGCAGCGGCGGCGTCGCAGACAGCCCCGCAGGGAGAGTTGCAGAGAGGCCGGCTGGGAGATTGGCATGCGGATTACCAGGAAGATTCGCAGGGAGGGGCAGCGTACCCGGCTTGACATCCTCTGGCAGATCAAATCCAGAGAATCCTGGCCAGGCAGACATCATATGGGACATCATGAAGAGCTCCTCCACATCCCCCCCGCCCATAGGTACGTTCCCAAGGGGCATCTCCCCCCCCACTCCTACCCCACGGGGCACATTGCCCCGCATGCTGCTGGCCATGCCCCCTCCTATGGCGCGGGGCACGTCCCCCCCTAGGCTGCTAGCGCCTCCGCGCATGGCTGTGAGGAGCGCCTGGTGGTTGTGCGCCAGGAGGTGTTGGTCGGAATGGGCAGCGGAGTGAAGGGCGGAGTGTGGGCGAGAGGGCGTGGTGGGCGCAGGGGACGACTGGGAGCGAGGCATTGAGGAGAAGGCTGGCTGGGCTGGCAGTCCTGATGGGGTTGATGCTGATTGCGATGCTGATGCGTTTGCGTTGCCATTTGCGGACGCTCCTCCTGCTCCTCCTCTTCCTGCTGCAGCTGCTGCGACTGCGGCGGCTGCTGCTGATGCTGAGCTCGCGCCAGCAGCAGCTGATACAGACGCGGGGCCAGTTGAAGCGGCGGTTCCTGCCTCCTTGCTGCCTGCACCTCCCTCCCCTCCTCTCGCTCCTCCGCCTGCCGCTCCTGCTTCTCCTTCTCCCCCACCACCCCCTTCCGACTGCAACCTCTGCAAGGCGTCACCCGCACCCCGTTGTTCCAATGCATCGCTTGCTGCCTCTCCAGCCGCTTCTCCCTTATGTGACTCAGCAGCAGCACCACCACCACCAGCAGCAGCAGCACCAGCGCCGCCAGCACCACCACCATCAGCAGCAGCAGCAGCAGGATCAGCACTTATTGCATCGTTGGCACTGGGTGGGCCGGTGCGCATATCATGCAACTGCTGCGCTTCTGTCACAGCATTGACTGCATTGACCCCATTGGCTCCGTCAACCCGTTCTTGTCCATCGCCTAGCAGCCTCGCCTCTCCCCCTTCCACCTCCATTCCCACCGCACCATCCTCCTCTGCTGCTCGTTCCTTCGCACTCTCTCGAGCAGCTGCTGCAGCATCTGCACCAACTCCACTTCCCGCTAACCTGCCCGCCTCCGCCCTACCTTCTTCCCACTTCACACAGCCCGCAGCACTCTCTGGCCTTTGCTCCTGGGCCTGAGTCTGCCTACTCGTCTTCTCCTCGGGCTCTTGTGATCCCCCTGTTGCATCAGCTGCGCCAACGTTAGACTTGGCATTTTCTGATGACGCCTTGTCCTCTGCACCCCGGCTCCCTGCTGCCGCCCTCACATCTGCTGCTTCTCCGTCTACTGTAGCGCCTGCTGCTGCGGCGCCTGCGGGTTCTGTGTTTGCTTCTGCGTTTGCTGCTGGTGCTGCTGCTGCTGCTGCTAATGGTGGTGACGAGGCGTCGTTGCCGCCCGTGCCTCTCATGAGTTGCATGAACGCGTCCTGGAGCAAAAGAATGAGCGAACCACAGGCGAACCACAATCACAGGTCTGAGAACTCATATAGTCGACTGCGTCGTCGTTGGTTGGTGCCTGCCCGTGCCTCACATGAGTTGCAAGAACGCGTCCTGGCACAGGAGAAGGAGCGAGATGAAGGCCAGCGCAGCGAAAGCACGCATGGCATGGCATGGCATGACATCCGAGTCCACGCACAAGCCTCGCGGTAAGAGCGTAAGACATCGAGCACGGAGCGGGCAAGACCAAGGGCGCGGGCAAGACCAAGGGCACGGGCAAGACAAAGGGAACGGGCAAGACGAAGGGGGGACAGGCAAGACGAACGGGGGACGGGCAAGACGAAGGGGGGACGGGCAAGACGAAGGGGGGACGGGCAAGACAAGGGGGGACGGGCAAGACGGAGGAGGAACGAGCAAGGGAAGGCTGCTGCGCGCACATGCACATGCAACGAGCAGAGTCTAGGAGATGAGGTAACAAGGCATGGACCCGGCCCGGCTGGACCAGTCATGCTGCCTCCCGTGCATGTGACTCGGGGTTGGCAAGGTTCTTTGAAAGACAAAGGGGAACGGAACTAGCAGGTGAACAGGACTTACATGCAGCTATTCGGAGCTCGCGTCATTCATGGAATGGCAAAGGGAAGCGTGACTAGTACGAGGACAGGACTTACATGCTGCTGGAACTCGGGGTTGGCGAGGTTCATGGAGAGGTTTCGCATGAGAAGGAGCACCTGGTGCGGGCGAAGTGGACGGCGGGAGAAACGGGAGCAGGCAAGACGGATGGAAGGAGATTGGAGGGCACGCGTTGAGAGAGACGAGGTGCACGGATATAATGGCGACTACGGCTAACTCGTGAAGCGTGGACGCAAACGGATGAATTGATCCTCGGACTCATGGTTACGTGGTGTCTAAGTCTAATACAAGCAATGCGCGGCGAAGGTCACGGTTTCGCGGTCGATGGGCGCCATGGCCTTGAGGTGCGCGAGGTGGCCCGAGTGGCCACGCCTGGGCCGTCACTGTGCGCGACCGCGACTAGTGCTTACATAATTGTGTACTTGAGGGTAAAATAACCGACAACTGGCGGCGCGACTCACGGTTTCGCGGTCGATGGGCGCCATGGCCTTGAGGTGCGCGAGGTGGCCCGACGTGGAAGGGTCGAACACGAACCCTATGAACCGGTACACCTCCGCGAAATCCGGCGTGGCTGCCGGGGTAAGAGTAGGGGGGAAGAGGAAGGGAGGACGGAAGGGAGGACCGATGAGCGGTTGAGAGGAACAGCGGGCGGGAGGATTTGGGGAGAGGGAAAAGGGGAGCCGGGGCAGGGAAAATAAGGAAAATCTGATCCACTGGAAGAAGAGCAATGCGAGTTGATGATGCGTGGGCAGGCAGGGCGCGTGGCATCGTTACCTCGAACTCTCTGCTCGCTGGCGTTTCCCGTCGACTGTTGTCGCTGCTTGGTTGACGCGCATGGGAGGGGACAGAGCAGGGTGAAGTAGGGGCTACAGAATGAGTCGCGGCATTCGCAAACGAAAGGAAGCAGCTCGGAAATAGGGGCGGAAACGGCTCGGAAAGGAAGCAGCGCAGAAGCGAGAGCACGGACTGGAAGCAATTAAGAGGAGGAGAGGAGATGTAGGCAGGGGCTGATGAAGCCGCTGACATGGGGGGACGGTGCGTGCGCGCGGAATGCGCGCAGTGGGAAGCAGAGTGCGCGCGGAATGAGCATAGGGGAAAGCTGCGTGGGCGCGGAGTCAGAAAAGTGGGATCGAGCATGCACGGGGGAGCGCACCTGGGCTTGCGCCATCCACATGGCGCCCGCCGCACTGGTGCCGCCGCCCAGTTGCGACGCCCCCGCCATCAGCCCCTCCGCCATGGCCCCCATGCTCGCCGCTCCGCCGCCTGTACCCCGCACGGATGGGCGCAGGAAAGAAGCGGATCAGCGAAGTTGAAGAAAGAAGCAAACCTCTCCCACGATCATATTTTTGAGAAATCTCAAAAGCTGACGATAATTAACATTTTGTACCCGCAACGTAGAAATGTGTTGCTACACCTTAGCACGGGACAGCCCGACGAGCGACAGCCATGACCGACTGCCAACGAACACTTCCGAACGTAACTACAAGAACCACAACGACCGCTCCCCCTTCCGCCTCCGCCCCCGCTCCCCCTCCGACACCGCCACCGGCACCGCCACACTAACGCACCTCGGGTAGCAAGCGAAACGGCTCCCGGCGGATGCATGCCGTGGTGCATCCATCCACTCGTCCCCGCCATCCCCGCCATAGCCGTCATTCCCGCCATTCCCGTCATCCCCGTGATCCCCGCCATTCCCCCCATCCCAGCCATCCCCGCCATGCTCCCCATCCCCGCCACCGGCCCCATCCCCGCCAATCCCGCCATCCCCGCGCCCCCCGCCGCCGCGTCGCCGTGACTCCCCGACACTCCCAGGGACGCCAGCGACGCGCCTACGGACCCGCCGAGCCCGTGGCCCAGGCCCGACATGCTCATTGCAGCCTTGGCGGACGGAGTGGAGGAGGTCGGTGAAGCTAGGCTCGCGACGGAAGCGGAGGGGATCAGCGCTCCCGGCGGGAATGGGGAGGGGAGCGGACCGGGCATTCCCGCGCCTGGAAAATTGGGCCCTGCTTCACCGCATCCTGCGGGGTGTGGTACCGCAGAGGGGACGTGGAAAGGGGGGGATTGGGTTGGTGGGGACGGCGGAAGGTGGAAATGAGATGGGGGGGAGGAGCGGGGAGTGGGGATAAGTGAGCACAGATGTTGGTGAATGAATTGGGGAAGAAGACAACTGGGTAGGCTATGCTTCCGCTGAAGTGTGACCGTTGATACTGATCTAGAATGGCATGACAGGGAGCCACAGAAACGCTATGGGGACGACATAAACAATTCTTGAACTACGGCCAAACGAAGTGAAGAAACTATTGGAAAAAAAAAGAACGCCAGGCGCAACGCAAACCGGCTAGATGCGAAGCTGCGAAGAAAATTACCTCTTCATTCTGAGCTGCTGGCCTTCTGAGGGTGCGACGGTGAATTCTGAGTCGGCTCGAAATTCACCTGCGTCTATTAACACAACTGGCTAAAGGGAAAGCTGTGACGGAAATTACCTCCTGATTTTGAGCTGCTGGCCTTCTGAGGATACGGCTGCGTGGATTTGCGCTTCGGCCTCGGCGGGGGCACGTGCTCTCCCGTGCCGTTCTTCTGAACCTTAAGAAAGTACTTCTGCGCGTGGCTCCTAATCTGCAGTACAGAGAATTTCGTTAGAACGACTTCAATATTGGAAATTGTGCAGTCATGGCGTATCATTCGGAATATCTGTGCATCCATGACGTATCAGGTTCGAAATTAGCTATTGCAATCGCTGACGACGTGCTGATGGAGATTGTAAAGCTATCGTAAGGAATATGGACTTATTGCTCTTGTAGCGGGGAATCTAGGTTTGGAATAACAAGGGGGGTGAAAGATAGCTCAAGAATTCTACCACCGACCTGAATCACCGATTTAGTTCCGACAAACGATTCTATCTTCTTCCAGTCCCGGTCAAATCTGTGGACGCACACAGACCCATATCGGAAATACTAATTTACTGAGCATCGAGGGAAATTGCTGAGAATGGTAACAATCAAGATATAAGAAGGACGTTGTACCCGTTAGGTACTAAATTAGGACATACAGCTGCAAGGCTTCTAGAAATTTGTCATGCTCCTGCTCCGTCCAGCTCTCCCTAGACTTGGTGATCGTGTACGGCTTCCGAATCTTCTTCTGGGCGTCGTCCTGCGACGCCGACTGGCTTACAGATGCTCCTATGCTATTCATCATTACTCGACCCGACACTAACGCGAAATGCAGCACAATCAGGCACGATGATAGAACATATCCCTAGCTTCGAGAACGCTGGGTCTAGCTATGTCACTCCAGAAACCTTCCTAATCGATCGTCCTAAACGTAGGCAAGAAGGGCGAGCTTTGAAGATCGCTGAGTTAGGGTTACGACAGGCTTTCATAGCTGGCCTGACTGCAACTGTGCACCATCATCCTTGAAACTTCAGGGTGGTCGAGTTTAGTGCGTGGAGGAGGAAGACTCTTGATTCCATGGCCAGACAGAAACCAGACTCACAAACAGACACCCTTTCAGTCATCAGAACATGGCTATCGTTGCTTGTTACCTTCACCGTCGGCAACTTCAAGGTCTGGAGGAATGGGCAAGAACGGAAAAAAGGACCGTGAAAGCCAAAAATAGGGTTTGAAGGGGTACCGACAAGGACCAGAATCTCTAAGGACGCGGCACCTGTTTTCATTTTACAAGGATCGCGGCCTCACATCGATCCTGGCATATCGATCGGCACACCGATGTGCCCACACTGCAAATTTGCAGTGGGGTAGACACATCGAGCTACAAGTGCCAGGGTCGAAATTGCAGGCTCGGGCAGGTTGGAGCTGCCATTACACTTAAACGCGCAGCCAATCAGGGCAGAGCGTGGATGGTCGTCCAGCAATTCCATTCGCAGCGACTCAAAACAAAATTTGGCCTGCGACCGTGGGCGACGCCGATCGATCGAGGCTGTCACCTGTGGCGCGATATGCTCTCCCGCCAACCCTAGCGCATGCACCACGGCACATCGATCGTGCGAGCTGCAGGTGCCACCAATTTGGGTACCCGTTTACTGTATCTTCTCGAATCTCAGCGAAAAAAAGGATACCAGGTATTGGCGACGTCGCCAATACACTGTACAAGCGGCACATCGATCCTCTCCCACGAACAGAAAACAGGTGCCGCGTCCTAAGCCCCACGAACGGTCTAGATTAGCCTTCATGTACTTCACCTCAATTCCCAAATTGCTGGAACTGCCCGTGTCCTTTCTTCCCTCTCGACGCAATCATTTCAACACACGACAGCCCGACAGCACTGCTCTGAAGCTGTGCGGCTGTGAAGATTTCATCAAGCAGACCTCGCCCGCGAATGGTAGCGGATGGCTACCCTGACCGAGAAGAATCTTTGAGAGAATTCTGTCCATTCGTTTGCCTCACCGCATGTCAACGGGCAATGGCAGCCACAACAGAAATCTTCAACAAGCAGATCGCCTCACCGATGCGAGCACCGCTATTGATTCGTTTTGGGGCAATCGACCTGTGTTGTTGTCCCACGTTCATCCGAAATGTGCATATGAACACCAAACCTGACAATACACCCTGTTTCTCGCGATACTAACTTCATCTATGACACCAACAAGTCCGAAACGGTCCTAGAACACAGCATATAAGCACAGTTGCTGCACTCAACTGTACGTAATAGCGTTGGTTACCTTATGAACCATTGTTTCTTCATTGCTTGATGGAAACCAGGTCATCACCTTCCTCTGCTTCAATTATTACCACCAGCCCGGAAAATATCAACCCTGTAGCCAGTAGAACTGATTGTTACGACATCGCGAAACAACGGCCTTGTTCGGCTGGCGAATCATGTTTAACCGTTTGCAGACTCGGGGGCACTGCTCATATACGAGGTTGTGATTATTAGGTGTTATTTTAACAACCAATACAGTGAAGGGTTCCGTGGAAGTCATACAACTCACACAACACATGTCGCGCAGTTATATCAGTAACTTATGTCACTCATACATCACAACGTTGTCGAGCATCACTAAACAGTTACATGGTGGGATATCTTGACGTTGCACCATGCGCGCATTAGTGATACGTCACGACGCGTTGCACGAGCAGGCTCACGTTATGGGCTCGCGACGGGGTGGAGCCTTTAAAAAGCTCCAAATATGAAGAAAGCCAAGACTGTGCATAAAATTAACTAGGCTCCCGCTTTCCTGGAGCCTTCCAAGTGTCACATCCCATCCCGAGCGGGTGCGGTGCACCAGCTTGTGTACATGTATTTTCCTATAATCAGCATAAGTGTAGATAATATTGACATAAAATAGACTATTCGACGGTTGGAATGATACGCTCACCCTCGGCAGTAATATACTCATTTTGAGCCTTGATAACATGTTTTCAACTTATCAAATAAGTTTTGAGGGTGCTCAAATATATAATGGTGCGCTAATCACGCAAGGCAATGATGTATCTGTTAAGATGTATATACAGGATTCAAAACATAGAGGGCAGACTATTACCATGTATCATCAAATGCATAGGGACTTCTTTACTATAAAACAACCTTTCGTAAAATAAATATCGTCTGATAGCGAGAACCTAGGAGTAACATTTGGTATGCGACCGACCATACTTTGAACAAGATGTAACATGCCATAAGTTGAACCCACTCCTGGCTCACAACATGGAAGCTAATATACAGAGTAAATTCTATAAGGTTTTTAGAGGACTTAAGCGACTGTTGATGTATATAGGGGATATAAACCACAAGGAAAAATAGGAGAAACTTCTCTAATATATACCTCTATTTATTTTTTATGTCATCTTCCAATCCAACCCTCTTAGAATCGTGTATGGTATGCTTTCCCATTCGTTATGGAACTTCATCCCCTCCATACACTCTCCAGCTAAAGCCTGGCTTTACCAGATTTGTACGCCGAACGCACCAAGCTACAACATAAGCTTCCTCCCCAGCCGTCGCCAGTATGCCGTCTCGTTCAGACGTCCTTCGCGTTTATCGCCACGCTCTTCGCATCGCCGATCGCCACATCACTGCCGTCGCCGGGAACCGCTTTGCGCGCGATGCTATTCGCGAAATGGTTCGCGCAGACCCAGCGACCACTGCAGATTTGTCTGACGGAGCTGCTAGGGACCCACTACCATCGGACCATGTTAGAGAGGCTGACGCGAATTGCGGTGCTGCCGTGGCAGGAGTGGACAGGGCTAGCCGTGTTCTTTTGCTGAAGGATTGGGCAGATCTAGTCGACGCTATCCACTCGCACAAGGTGAGAACATCCAGCGTCGGTAACGATCATTATAGCAATAGAAGGATTAAGACCAGCTTAACGGGTGCACGTGACCTTCTGTCTTTTCCCCCTGTCATGCTGGTTTAATCATAAAAGCGCCAGTGAAATTTTCTCACGTGTCCTTCGTTGATAGATAGGGTTAGTGAGCACCTTGGAGGTATCTTCCTTGATCTACGTCAAGAATTGCCTGGCTGGTCATTGATGTTTTGATCATGGCCTTTCTAGTCTCCACCCATCAATACACATCTCAACCCGATCGTGCTCGAAGTCCCTGCATTTTATATAACAGTGTTAATGTGCATTTCCGCATCTTGAGTGCGTTCAACACCTCTGATTAAGCTACCTCCTTACCACCCCACATCCCCAACCTCCCCATTGTGTTCATGCAGAGCCTGCTGCACTCGTACAACATAGACATCGACAGGGAAGCTGAGCTCAAAGATAGGCTCCGTGATACAGCTAGAAGGGTTGGCCTTCAGATAACCCCTCCAGAAGATTATGAACCACCAACTCTTGAAAAATAACGTTGCACAAAGTCATTGTGCATTTGTTTTGTGCCGTTGAGTAGTTTTATATGTTTTAGGAG